GGCCCGTGATCCTCCTGTCCAATGAGTGTATATCCTGGGGCTGCGCCGCAGGTGGTCTGTAACAGATACTATATAGTAGATTTAGTAACCTAGCTCAAGGGTAGTTTAATCTATATATCCTAGTCACGATTTAAGACTAAATAAGATACTAGCTTAGAAATCGTATCCTTCTTTATTTACCTCTTCCATTTAAGGTTAGCGAGGCATTTAGGCCTAGTAACTCTAATAAGAAAATTAGATATAAAGCCGGCACTTATATATAACTTTAAGAAAATTATTCTAATATCCCTATCCTATAACTTTATAGATTCTTACTATTATTAGATGAATTAGTAAGTCTCCCTTTTATATTTTTAATGCCAACGAAGCTAGCTAATAGCCCTAGTTTACTATAATAAAGAATCTACCTCTTCTTATTAAATACTATTACTATATATCTTACTAAATCCTTTTATGAATTAATAAATTTATATAGTCTGATTATATAATTCTATCTTGATACGTCCACCATCCTATTGTGATCCTATTAGACCTTAGTTATATTCTAATAAAATATATTAAGCTAAGTCAAAGAAGAATACTCTTAGATACTTGGTTTAGAAATTTAAACACTACTCTAAGGACAACGTTATTCTAAAGTCTTACTTATATAATACTAAACCTTGCCCGTGTCCCTTTGCTCTATATTAGGTTATGTATTATAGATAATAAGAGCTTTATCTTATTATTAAATCGGCCCTTAACTCTCAAAATTTAATAACTAAAGAATAATAAAATCCTAATAGATATTCCTTATAATTATATATATTTAACTACCAACTTCTATGCTACTAATATTATTAGTCTTTATAATAGCTATCTACTTTATTAACCAAATGCGATTAATAATAGATCAGATTTTTTATAATAGATAACAACTTTCGCTAAAATATATATTTTAATCCCTCTCTTTTTCTAATAAGATCTACACCGAGGGCTATTTATATTCTCCTTAGCTAATCTCTATTAGAGTAATATCTTTGTTAATAAGAAGTGGAATATTACCTTACTTATAGATCTTAAATAGAGATATTCTCTACCAATTGAGATAACTTACCTATCTTATTGGCTTATAGGCGATTTTGTCGACACTATTAACAAAGATAAATATAAAGAAATATAGACGGAATTTATATAAGTTCTAGTCTAAGAAGAACTTAAAGTAAAATAAGAACCATAGCTATTAATAATAATAATAAGAGGATGGAAGATAGGTACCTTTTAGTACCCATCTGCCCTTTAAAACCCAGTTACTATCTTCTATCTATTTATTAATAGAATTTAAGGGAGACTCCTTAGAGAAAATATATATAATTAATACTAAGATAAATACAACTTTATTATAATATTATATTAGGTATTTAATATTACTAATACTATTAATAAAAAGATAGAAGGCTAAAAAGAATATAATAATAAACTTTAATAAGCTTTTGGTAAACTAATATAAAACTAGTACCTTTACTTTTGGTTTAATCCTTAATCTCCTAAACCTCTTTAATTCCTTATTAGCTTTTATTATACTATATTATAGTTGATTTCCTTTTACTTCTCTTTTAATTATTTGCTAGAAAATATAATAGTATTTACCACGGCTAGAGGTACTATAACTCTATATAATATTTCTCTAATATATAGTTCCTCCTTTTCTTTCCCCTTAGCCTTTTCTAAATTATTAGCTATATTAGAGTAATAAGAGGTATTAAGTAATAATACTACTTCTTTAGTTAGTATACTAATAAAAAGGGCCTATATATAGAGGCCTAATCTATACTAGGATTCTATATAGTTATTACTAGATAGATCGATTTAGAATTATAGATTACTTTTCTTATACTTTTTATATAAAAGGCTCTTTCTTTAGAGTTTTAGGGTAGGCTTTATAGTATAATAACCACCGCTTATCACTATAGTAGGATATATTAAAGCGCTTATATAGATAAAAGGGTTCTGCCCTATAGTATCTTTATATTATATAGATAGCCAGCCTTGCTCACCTATCCCTAGTCTACTCTTTCTAGGTAAAGGATTAGGCATTATTATTCTAGGCAGTAAGCTATAGCCCAAATTAACTAGGCTTCTAAATATCTTGAGCATCTTACTACTTAACGCCTTACTAGATACCTTTCTAGAATTATTAGACTAAACTAATCTAGGTATATAAGATATACTTAACTCTCGCTTTAGATTAAACTACTTCTATATTTATTTAATTTAATTATGTATTCTTAAATATTAAAGATTATAAGTCTTCTATTTAATTTTTGTACGTCTTAAGGCGATTATAGCTGGCGGGCCTAGATACTCTGGGCTATTTTTAAACTATATTAGAAATATATACTATTTATATTAGTAAAGAATCTAGAGATAAAGTTAATAGAATATATATATATTAAGGAAGTCCGTTATTAATGAATTCTTAGCCTATTTAAAGAAGTTAAGTAAATCTAGATTCTATCTTAAAGAATCTCTAAGAGAAAACATATGTAGATTTAAGTTACTGTTTTCTAGTTCTATGATCTTTCGGATTATATAGCTAATTACTTAGATACTAAGATTTTTCTTATTCTATTATAATAATATACTTACTCTAATATCACTTAGAAGTTATATATACGGGTAATTAATAAGTAGTAGATTAAGGGTATATATTCTAGTACCCTATCTTATCTATTTTAATATAGCTAGTAAGTGATATAAAAATATTACTATAACTTATATTACTATATACGATATATAGTTCCTTATAAATATAAAATATACTAAGAAGGACCTAGCTAAATAATTTTTAGCTAGGAGCCTTATAAGGAAAGGGAAATATAAAAGTATTAAACCTCTTAGTAGATTATAGTAATATAAATATTCTTAAGCCGCAAGCTTAAGTAAATATACTTAATAGATAGCTATATCCGCTTATATATAAAGTAAACGGTTTCCCTATTAATATACGTAGCCTTTAGGTTCACAATATTTAGATAAGAGGTCTTTATAATATACTAGCGGTAGTCTATAACTAGCGGTTTTTAGCTTTTCTTAATTATAATAATATTATACGTAGATGTTAGCTTAAATACTAGGTATATAGATTTTAATTCCCCTTCCGCCGTAAATTTAGTATAATTCCCCTATAGGTTCCCCGTTTAGTAGAACTTAGTAGACTTTTGCTTAGCTTTTAGTATATTAATAGCTTTAGATAGCTTAATTAGAAACCAAAAAGATAAAAGTAATAATTTTTATAAGATTCAGATATAGTAAACCTCTTAGCTTTTAGTAATATTAATTTACTTATTAGGGACAAATAGAAAGTCCAAACTTATAAAAAAGGTAATATAGCGGTCCACTATATCTAGTAGATTATACTCTATATATTATAATAGTAAAAGGACTATAGAAAGAGAGCTATAAATTATATATATGTTATATTAATCTCTTTATAGCCAAGAGGCCCTAGTATTTATAAAAAAGGGTAGAAGTGCAGAAAGCTATACGTTACCTAGACTTTTTAGTTATATAGGTTATCTCTCTAAGCGCCCAAGGTTAGAGCCTACCTTAGTTATTATATAAGAAGGTAGGATCATTATATAATATATACACACCTAGTATGTGGGTAGTTTTATAGCCCTTATTAGTAGAGGATACGTGCAGGGGAGGTAGGAAAATAGAAAGAATACACGAGCTAAAGCCAGGGTAGTTAAAAGTTAGTTAGATATTAATTAGATAACTCTCCCGTCTTTTCTAGGGTCCCTTATACCTATATTCTGGTAAAACGCCAAGAATTCATAGGAATTATAGAGAAATTATAGAGGAATTTATATAAATTCACAAGAAGGCATTCGCGCACTATTCCGGAAGTATTTGTGATGAAATTCGGCGATTATACCACTAAACCAACAGCCCGTTTGAATGATGATCCGGATCTAGTTCACTGCTTTCTAACTACATCTAACAATATTTACGTTAGGTATTAAGAAAAATATCTATCCAAAGCTCCATTGTTAATGAGAAAGGCCTTTAAAAGTCATGCATTGCACGAACATATCACTGTTCGAAACTGCGAGATAGGACGATGGGAGGACTCGACACGCTTCCTCTCGAGCTCGTCCAGGAGGTTGCCGCGTATCTCAACTCCTTTCGCGAGATACTCAAGTCTATCACTTGTCTGCCGGAGTTTCTACCACCTTATCGACCCAGCCACACGCCGCCAGTATCACCAAATCCGACTCAGAACAAAGCGTTGCTGTCGAGAAGCATTTACAAAACTGGCCAATATCCTCCAACGGTCTTATTCAGGGAAATATTTACACGAACTAGAGGCCATTCCATCAAACGATTTTTGGGGTTTCTGCGCTCCAAAAAACACGCTTCTGCCGGAGGAGCGTCGAAGGTTTCCCGGCCTCGGGAAGAGTGAGCTGTTCAAAGATGCAATCAGGAGCGCCGGCTTTGAAGACGATGTTGTGGAAAAAGCCTGGCTTTGGATGCAATATGCATATGCACCTGACGCCGCCCAAATGTTTCTATTCCTGTTCAGACCCCAATAATGCAAGATACTTGGCTAACATGCCTCTTGACAGGCTAAATTTACTTTCTGCTCCGACTATGCCTAGGAGGTCTTTAATACTTGGACTGGAGGCCTCTGCTGCGCATGTCTTTGCAATAGCGCTGATAATGAAATCCCCCAATATCAAGATCCTTGGTCTCTCCATTTATGGAGAGGATCAACAAATCTACGGTCTCGAATTGCTTTCAGAAACTAGTTGTTGTGAACATTTGCTACGGAGTTCCTACCCGCACAGCTAATTACATCAGAGCTGATCTTCTAAAGCAAATGGGCTATTTCGACCACCTACCAAGCATTAGGACAATAAGCATTAACTATGTATGCGCCTCTGAATACTGGAGAAACTCCGAGTGTATTACTCCTGGTACTTCTAAGTTCAGGAATCCGTATTAATGACTCTAATATGCCATCCGGCCATCTTGCCGATATTATCAGACAGCCGAAGATACTTGAGGAATTCACCTACACCGTTGGAGGTCGACAACATCACCCAGGGGATGAACCCGGTTACATCTATCCACTGGACCTACAAGAGACGCTACTCCTTCATTGCTCTACTCTACGAATGCTTAACCTTGACGTAGACGCCGATTTGCAGGCTGAGAAGGATGATGAAACGCTCACTAATGAAAACTCAAACTTCGAATCCTCTACTTCCCTGCCTAACCAGTTTATCAAATCGTTGAAGTATTTTACTGCTTTGACGCACCTTAGCATTGGGGTCGACTTGCTCCTGGGAAAACCGAGTGATATCAGTGGACATCCTCTCCCCTCTTTTCAACCGCACGAGGTACTACCCCCGAATTTGCAACAACTAGTCATACGTGGGTAGAAACCGGGTGAATGCCAATATCACACGGACCAAATTTCATCTTCAGGAAGAAACGACAAAGGGAAGAACGACATAGAGAAAGTCACTGGAGTTGAGGAGCCAATACCAAGTGGACGGCATAAAACGTATGATTCTGGCCTATGGCTAGAGGAATACGACTGGGCATCCGAATCAGAGGAATTTGACTCATCAGATGAGATGGGGGCGTCGGAGAAAGAGGAAACTGAGGAGGAAACGGAATATGGACCTCCGCCGCCGTGTCTTTTCAACTTTTATTTGGATGATGGGTATAGCTCGGGGAGTCGATATTCCATGTACCCAAGGCTTAAGCCCTCTCGCCGAGGAATCCTGGACGGATAAAGACTCTGGAGGTGGACAGTAGGTAAGAGTAAAGCGTAATGTTGCTTCTATTCAAGACGCCGGCCAACACACTAATCTTGAACCCAGCCGTACTAACATTCAGCCGGTGCCAGACGGTAAATCAGACTACTCCCTTAATAGTATAGAGCAGCAAATATATCGTCTATATCGTCTATATCGTCTATATCATCTCTATCATCATCATCTATATCATCTATATCATCATCATCGTCATACCTCGGTACCCCTTTGCTTACTAAGTGGCGCTGACATAAGCTTTTCTCAACCAAAAAAAAAGTTACATCCAAAAGTCCAACTTTCTGGCTTCTTCCTTCCTCGCGATCCGTCAACTCTCTCTCTCTGTCTCTCTCTCTCTCTCTCTCTCTCTCTCTCTCTCTCGTCTTCTCTTCTTGCTTGTTCTTCTTCTTCTTCTTCTTTTTCTAATGCTTCCCGTCTACCTCTTTTAATCGTTATCCTTTTGGCTTCATTTCTTAGAACCCAGACCTGAGACTCGCTCCGTCCAGACCGACCCCTATTCAACAAGTGCCCTATATCGCAGCCATTGACACCCACACCCGCCCTGACGCCGGCTGCTCTCGTCGCCGGCTGACTCGGATCATCACTCCTTTTGATTCGGGCCTCTTTCTTCTGCGCTGTTCCGCCTCTGCCGTCGCGCTGCCGCTAGACTTCTAGAAACTAGACACACGCGGGCGATTACGACTTCTACCAGATTAGACCGCATTTAAAAAAAAAAATAACGTATCTATAATATTTCAGCCATGTCCGCCAACCTGCTCTCCAACATCCCCTTCTCCGTCTCCGCTCCCTCGATAGATCGTCCGTTTGGCGTCCATCTATGGCCCATCTTCGACTACTTCTTCACTGCCGTCAAGGGCTATTCCGCAGATGACTTCCGCTTCGTCGTCGATGAGACGCCCATGTCCACGCTCAGGGCCACCGCCATCGCCCTGATATCCTACTATGTCATCATCTTCGGTGGCCGCGAGCTCATGCGCAGCCGTCCTGCCATGAAACTCAACGGTATCTTCATGGTGCACAACTTTGTGTTGACAGCTGTCAGCTTTATCCTGCTTGTCCTCTACGTCGAGGAGCTGCTGCCCACCGTGGCGCGGAAGGGCATCTTCTTCGCCATCTGCGACCACGCCGGCGGGTGGACCAAGCCGTTGGTTCTGCTCTACTATGTGGGTGCACCCCCCCTGGTCCATGTCCAATCTGCAGCCCATTTACTCCGTTAATTCCGTGCTAACGAATGTTGTTTAGTTGACCTACCTCACCAAATACCTCGAGCTCCTTGATACCGTCTTCCTCGTGCTCAAGAAGAAGCCACTCACCTTCCTACACACCTACCACCATGGCGCCACCGCTCTGCTCTGCTACACCCAGCTCATCGGCTCTACCGCCGTCTCCTGGGTGCCCATCACCCTCAACCTGATCGTCCACGTTGTCATGTACTGGTACTACTTCCAGAGTGCCCGTGGAATCCGCATCTGGTGGAAAGAGTGGATCACCCGTCTCCAGATCGCCCAGTTCGTCATCGACCTAGGTATGTCCCTCTTTTCCCCCCTTCTTATCGTGCATCTGCTAACAGGGATCCAGGATTCGTCTACTTCGCATCTTACACCTACTTCACCTCGACCTACTTTGACTGGATGCCCAATGCAGGCAAATGCGCCGGTGAAGAGTTCGCTGCCTTTGCAGGTCTCATCATCCTCTCGTCGTACCTCCTTCTCTTCATCTCCTTCTACCTCGCCACCTACAAGAAGGGAGCCAAGTCCGGCCGACCCCGCCGAAACACCGGAAAGCAAGCCATCATCGGCATGAGGAACATGGAGATCCCCTCTGTCGGAAGCAACGGAGCTGCCATCGTCGCTAACGGTTCCGCTAACGGCTCTGCCAACGGTTCCGCCAACGGAAGCGCTTCCACCAACGGAGCTGCTACCACGACTGCCCGCGCTAACGGACCCGTCACCAGGTCGAGAAAGGCGTAAAAAATCAGCGCTGCATCGATCGACTCCACCGGGAGGCTCCCTGATATTTGTTTTACATTGCATTTGAACATGTTGCGATGGCGTGTATAATATAATTGTGTTGTACGAGAGCAGGAGATGTTGGAACGAGTCGGCTCCGTCAAGCTTGACGGATGCTTGGCTGACGGTTGGGTTGATACACGGACGCCGGAACGATTGAGATGGTTTTATATAAAAAGGGCCTATTGCGTCCATTCACACACACACTTCACATACACCTACTTACTTTGCGTGGAGATTGGAAAAAGGCATAGATATACATACTAGAAAGAGAAAAAGAAGACCACGATGGACCTGGATGCTTGGATGGATGAGCATCTTTTGCCGCTTCTTTGCTTCCTCCACCTTATCCATCCCTTTTCGCCATGCCTGCTACATTTACTACCTACTAATTACCTTTCCCTTCCCTTTCATACTTGCATTTGCACTTGCATTACTTCATTTCACAACGTTGTCTTCCTACTGACTTTACTTGACCCTTTTTTCCTTCTTCGCCTTCACCTTCTGCCCTATCCTGTTATTCTTTTTTTTTCTTGGGTATAATGACTATGGAAATCGAAAAAACTATTTATAAGTCCTTCATCTTTGCTCGTAAATATCTCTTTCGCTCGTAAACATCTCTTTCGGCTTCAAGTACGGAGTAGCGGTGGGTATAGGTGGATTGCATTTTATTAGATGTCTAGTATCTGCTGGTGATCTCTTCTTATTCTTCGATATAACGCCATCCTATATACTATAAGCAATCCTCTTATATACTCACCGAGTAACTCACCTCGTGCCGTCATAGCATCCGTCCTCGGCATAACCGACCTCCCAGCCCTTATCACGACTATTATACGTCTTCAAGCCATCCGTAACTCCACTTCGAGCGCCCAAACCCTGACTCAGGTCGGTAATTTAACTGCCCAGGAGATTTATCACGGCTGCACGTTTGCTGACCGTCAGTCAGGATCGTTATATTTCCGGATGACATACATCTGCATGAGCTACATATAGACGGGGTATACCAGTAAGACCGTGCCAGTAAGCCCTCTGCATCTCCTTACTCAGGCTTTCACTCAGGGGTACCACCGACAGCTATCTCCAGCTCTTCACTCTTCACGGCAAACTACCTTCCTCTCTCGAGCTAGACTACGAGCTACGATGTACAAGCTACATAGCTCTGTTGGTGGCGCGTCTCCTCGAAGCCTCCTGATGGCGCCGCAAGCTTATACACTATAGCCACCGGGCGTATACATTATAAGTAAGTAGACAAGCGTGCTATAGCCAGGAGGTGGCCAAAGTCAAGCACTATCACTTACAGCCCCAACATAGCCCTGACTCTGATGGAAATAGCGAGGCGATCTCGTCTCTTGGTCTCTATATTGGGCCTTCGAGTCTTAATACCGCAGCGAGGGCGTAGATCCAATGCCCTCATAGCCCTGATGGACAGTGAATCGTGTGCTGGAGGGAAAAAGAAAAGAAAAAGGCAGAGGAAGTCAGATAACATGGCAAGACGGCGAGCGGACACCTAGTCGAGCATCAGTGAAGCCAGCGATGCGATGCAGCAACTAGTCTGGCCATCGACACGATCACCGATTGATCGCTGCTTCACTGCACATAGATGCTCAACAGACTACGACTGCGACTACGGATAGGGACGACGGTATAGACTACGACGGTATAGACTACGACCAGAGTGGAGGCTTCGAGAAAGGAGAAAGTCCTCCACGAACTGGTCCACCTCGAGTCCATCCATGTCGTTTCGTTTTAGCCCGGTGCAACATGCAAGGAAGTGGCTTGTCTCATCGCCAGGGGCATGTCAGACCAGGCCCTCTCAGCAGCGCAGGTTGACTTCGACAGTACCTCGACAAGGCCGCCAGTCCACGGTGCAGCTCGTACGGCCAGCAGGTATTCCGCATGTCTACCAGGCGGGCCTCTCCATGGGAGTATATTTGGCTAGCTACCCGTATTCGCCTGGACTGCCCGCCGTTTCGCCAGTATAACGCTTGAGAAAAACTCGCTTGCGCCGTTAGCAAAACACCCACCGTCTCTCCATCTGCTCCGATGCGCATAACCTGCAGAGCTCTCCAATGGACAGTTACACTGCCTGCTGCTACTACTAGCCAACTACTGCTGGTGGCGTTTTCTCTATTCCTTTTTAACTCATCGACTCTGGCGCTCGTGGTCCAATCATGTCCGCCGAACTGTTGGTCACCAGTCAGAGACTCCATATCTCAACCTAGACAAGGGCTGTGCGCTTGCATTTGCATTGCATTTGCATGCATCTTGTTCGTCGCGGTATAAAATTGCGCTGGGCCCTGAACGCACCCTCCCTCCCCACCGGCCCTAATCCCCGCCATGGATAGTGGATGTGCATGGTGGATGTGCATGGTGGAAGATGCGGCCGTCTCTCCTGGGTGGCTCCTCGCAAGGAGCGGACGGTCTCAAATGCTAGTCCATATATACATACGTTATGATCTCAGGGACTTTGCCTGGGACACGGTTCGGTTCCTGTTCCTGAACCTAAAATTAAAATCTCTCTCTCTGCCTGAAGAGAGGAAGGGAGAGCTATCAAAGGGGATATCTACTTGAATCCGCGGCTCAAGAGAGAGAAGAGGAAGAAAGGTATACTTTGCCCTCGTCGATCATTCATTTGAACCCCAAAGGATCATACCTGGAGAGTACCCTGTCCGCCGACTCTTGTATACGCATGTTTCAAACCAATCTTACCCTTCATCAGTCTTAATCTTACTTATGGACCGGTTTGATACACCCGTCTTCTTGTCTTCACGCCTACTTACACGCGCTTGTACCCGATGCTGCCGTTGAAAAAACGTGCGTGAAGACGGCCCTCTCTCTCTCTCTCCATTCCCTTTTTATACATTGTTCCTTTCCTTTAGTCCTTCCTTAGTTCTCCTTCATATGAGGCCCAGGTCTCACGATTAGACGGCCCCCTGCTCGGACCAAAGGACTTAACCGCCGACGCCTGGCGTGTTTGCCCTCTTCCATATTTAACCTCGACAATCTCCCTCTAGGGTTCTCCCTCTAGGGTTCTCCCTCTAGGGTTTGGGCGATATTTTTAATTTACTACCTCGACAGGAGAGGCGAGGTGTGGGCCATTTCATTCTTCACCTTTCTTCTCACCAGACCTACTAGGCAGGGAAGGGCTGGTTGGCTTCGGTCCCGCTAGCTATCCCTCCCCTCTATCGCCCGACATTCGATTCGTTATGGCCACCACGCCGCTTCACTCTCTTATATCGAACAATCCTCAGGAAAGAGAGAAGTTGGACGGGAGCATCCCGGCTGTCTCTGCTTCTCTGCATATTCAACCCTTGCCGCAAACCAGGTACGAATCCGATGAAGAGGAGGAATCAGAACTAGATATACCCGCCGCTCGTGATGATCGGTTCTTCTCAACCCCGGATGCAGAAAGTGATATTGCGATAGGCAGCCAAATGACGACAGATCACTGCGAGGGAGGTTTCGAGTTTACCATGTCTCCATCTGAACTGCAGCGGATGCCAGATAGGCGACAGGGAACGGACACACCTCAGCGCACTTCTGTGTATACCATCAGGCGTATAAGTGGACTGACGCTTCTGCCGCCTTTGCAGACATCCACAGAGCAACTACAACAGAGGAGAGACGCCAGTAGATCGAGGAGTCCATCCGTCACCCCGCGTACCCGAGCTGAGAGACCTGCCACCATGATATTCGAGGCCGAAGAAGTAGATTCCATCTACTCCGATCCTCCGTCGGACTACGATGACACCTGCAACGACAGTGAACCCGGCGAGGACAACGACGCCCCGGATGGAGGAGCCATCGATGAACTATTCTTCGTTGCTACTCCCATAACGTACCATCTTCCCAAGGGCAGACCAAGCCTGGTCTCTATCTCTCCACCGCCATCGCAGTCCGGCCGCTCGCCACAGATCCCATCACAGCCCGAGGAACAAAGTCCCAGAGCACAGAAGAAGCAGAAGAAACGGGACTCAGCCTCCCTGGAAAGGACAGACTCGGTCGTCAGCAGGCATTCTAGCACCAGCAGCAGTAATATTAATAAGAATCTCCTTCACATAAAAGTCAGCAGGAACGAACCACGACGAGGATCAACATATATCTCACCTGCGCCGTCCCCTGCCTTGAGCGCTACTTCTCCCATGCTAGCCATGACGCCGCCAGACTCTGCAAAGTTCTTCACCGAGCCAAAGAAGCACAAACAAGCTCCTTCTGAGAGTCGTCGGCGATCACTAATTCCAGGCCAGCTACGAGGCGGTAGACGAGATCGAAACGCATCAGTGCAAACTCCTCCACCAACAGACTTTGAGCCACAGAATGCAAAGAACCAGCCCTTAATACAACTTAATCAGGGCCATCGGAGACGAGCAACCGATAAACCCCCATCCTTTAATAATGTGGCATGGAGGCCAGCATCGCCTCCTACCTCCCCATCCGAATACAGCACTACATCACTTAATAGCCCCCTCCCAGTACCACAAAAATGGCCCTTTAATCGACAACAAAGCTCCGTCTCGGAGCCACCACCGTCCCCCGGCCCACTGCGCAAGTCCAATACCTTCCAAGTACCAGTACCTAGCCATCTAGACCAAATGCCAGTTCCTCGCTCCCGTGCCCGCACCCGCTCAATCAGCAGCATAGCTAGCAACGCAAGCAAATTCAGCATTCCGGCCTTCGACAGCGCTTCTCTAAAAGCTATTGCCAAAAAATACCAAAATAGAGCAGTCTCCCCTTTACCGGGAACGACATCCCCTACCCCTTCGTCATCATCCAACCTTAGACCAACTGCACCTGAAAGCCCTCGTCGCCCATCAGACTGTGGCAGCACTATGTCTGAACGACCCAACCTACCGCCCAGACATCAATTCCTTCGAGCAATGTCAACTACCAACCTCAGCATGCTTACAAGTGCACACGATACCATTGACGAAGACGGCATAGGCAGCCCCTACCAGAGCAAAAGCTACAACAACAGCCTAGGACGAAAGTCAAAACGCTACTCTTCGACATCGAAAACCAGCGTCAGCACATCCAGGTCTAGCGTTAGCAACCCTCAGCATATCCGGTCTAAGAGCATCAAATGGCTTCAGGGTACGGGCGAGAGTATGACGCTTGCCGGTAGCAAGCTTGGGTCGATGCTGAGAAAGAAATCTGTCGCGATGCCGACCATCTCTTAATATTGCACACCAACCCATACATATACAAACTTATAATGGTTTTGTGTTACACTTTCATTATACCCTTTATTTTCTAATTTTCTACTTTCGTCTATTACAACTACATCTCAAACAAACAGGAAAAAGGATAGGATTTCCGGGTCCGGGGCGGATATTGTCTATCTTTGTTCTTTCGTCTTTTCGTCTTTTCGTCTTTTCGTCTTTGCTTTTTCCTATACTAACCAACCCAAACATAATGACTATTATTTAATGTCTTTCCCATTTCTCGTCTTTGTTTTAACAGCATACCTTTCAGGCGGCCATCCTACTTATATTTCCTTCCTTGTTCTATCTTTTCTTTCGCTTTCCTATTTGGGTCTCGGATATTATATTGTTTGGGATACATTCGTTTTCTCCCATCTTTCCTATACTTGCATATACCACAAACTTACACATACTGATAGTTTCTAATAAGAAATTGACTATTTATCCTCACAACGGTTCCTGATGTCCGAATATCGTAGAAACGCCCTACCCGAAGAGCGGGCTTCCACGATACGCCTTTAGCGCCAACTATTGGGCCATCGTCGTAAACTTCGGCCTTACCCGAGGATCCGCCGGTCTAACTTTTACTCTTCTCGTCCACCGTTTTTCACCTATCTTAGCTTTTTTTTCTTGGAAGCTTTTGGCGTCGACCGGGAATATTAGCTTGGAAGCAGTTAAAATATCTTCTGTGCATATGCACGTTTACCTTCTATCTATATACCAGACCGCATTGGCTCTTTTTCTTCTATATATACGGAATACTTCATCCTATGATTATATACTCCGTACATATATATCATTTCTCACCAATTGGATTCTTCTGGTGGATTGCCGGAGCGTGTGGGTAGGCCATAATGTCGCCCCTCGACGAGACAAGCCAAGCTCGTACAGCCGAAGCTGAAGTCGAGAGAAGTGGCCGGGAAAACAACGAGGCCCTTTCTGATGCAGCCCTACTGGTATATCGCCTCCGTTGTTGCTCCGTTATCTGCTTCCGTACTCCCGTAGTGGTGGAGGTGTGGATTCATCCAAGCTGACACGCGCCGTATGATAGGAAACTCTTGGATATAAACCGGTACGGATGCCAGATAGGGGTCTATATCCTCTTTAGTCCATGCAAGATGATTGAGAATCTCGGATTAAAGGAATCAATCAATAACTTGTCGCTGATATAGGTACTTCACCGAACGTATACGTTTTTGGAGAGTTTTGCGACAACCTTCTGTAAGTGATCGGCTCTAACGGGGTATCTCCACTGACCGTTTTGAACATCCTGCTAAGTCGTGTTACAGCTGCCCTGTACTTCGTCGGCGGAGTGAGAGTCACATTCAGCACCGGAATCGCAGCTGGTGGCAACTTGGCGTATTGGTGAGTCCACGTTCTTCAGCGGAGAATTTCCGACTCCTCGTGTATGATGCAATGCATGTTTTAACCCGATTACTAGGACAAACTACTTGATCACGGCTGTTTTCACTGGAATCACTGCCTCAGTCATTGCTGAGATCTGCTCTGCATTGCCGTCTGCTGGTTCGATCTATTTATGGGCTGCTGAAGCTGGTGGTCCCAAGTATGGACGCCTGCTGGGCTTCGTCGTTGCTTGGTGGAGTACCACGGCATGGACGACGTTCTGTGCAAGTATGTATCCTATAATCTTTGTGGATGAGGAATAAATTGGCTGATTGTGTAATCCCAATCATATAGGTAACACTCAATCTGCCGTGAACTACATTCTGTCGGTATGTGGTCTAAAGTTGAACGGTAAGGGAGCGTTAGCTAACCGGCCACTTACAGGAATTGACCGTCTTCAATGTCGATTTCCCCAAAAATGTCGATGACATAAAATTCAGAGCTGTCCAGTGGGCATGTACTGAGGTTCTTCTTGCTTTGGCTGCCATTGTCAATTTCCTACCACGTACGGCTACCTCTACTCATGAACTTGAAATCAGAACTAACCAAGTCTTTACACTACTTCAGCGAGAATCTTTAGATACGTCTTCTATCTCTCGTCCACGTTTGTCCTTCTAGACTTTCTTCTGAACGTCATCTGGTTACCAATTGGTGCCCATAACACATGGGGTTTCCGCACTCCACATGAAGCATTCTTGACAACCTACAACGGCACTGGGGCGCCAGCTGGCTGGAATTGGTGTCTTTCCTACCTTGCTACTGCTGGAATCCTGATTGGATTCGATGCTTCTGGTCATATTGCGGAAGAAACTAAGAATGCATCTTTGACTGCGGCCAGAGGTATCTTCTGGAGTACCGCGGTCAGCGGGATTGGTGCTGCGATGACCATCGTCCTATTTTTGTTCTGTGCGGTGAGAACAGATAATCCTCTTCTGAGTATGCTTGGAGGTTCTCTTGCTAATTAAATATTGCCTGATAGCCCGATCCCCAGACCTTATTTTCGTTTGGTTCGCCTCAGCCTTTCGTACCTCTCTATGCCGTCGTGCTGGGGAAGCGGGCCCATGTTGTCATGAATGTTATTTGCGTTATTACCTACTGGTTTGTACGTATCCCCCCATTTTTATATCAATCCTTGATATTGACAGCTTTCTAACGTCGCCCAGAACACCACTATCGCCATAGTAGCTGCATCAAGACTTGTATTTGCCGTTGCGCGTGATGGTGTCCTCCCATTCTCCAGCTGGGTCTCTCGCGTTTCTCCATCCGGCCAACCTTACAACGCCATTAAGGTGGTTTGGGGTGTTGCATCGCTAGTAACATGCACTATCCTCCCGTCAAGCGTAGCGTTCACGTCCCTCGTTTCAGCTGCCGGCGTTCCATCAGCAGCTGCATATGGCTTGATCTGTTTCGGGCGAGTATTCCTAACGCCAAAGAAGTTCCCAAAGCCGAGATGGAGCTTAGGAGCGTTCAGCAGGCCGTTTCAGATTATCGGTATCTTCTGGAATGGATGGGTTGTCGCCATTCTGTTTTCACCTTATATTTTCCCTGTCACCGGGCAGACACTGAACTGTAAGTCCTCTTTCCTTGGTTCAAACCATGGGCTATGTCTAATACTTGATTCCCTCCAGATGCCCCGATAATCCTGGCGGGAGTGACCATCATCGCCCTAGTTTCATATCGGATCATCCCAGAAGAATCGTGGTTCCCAAGCGAGCGTATATCTAAATTCGTCGAAGGTGAACCCCAGGAGAGCTATGTCACTGCCCCGAAAGAAAAATAAAGCCTATCTAAATTGGGGCCCCCTTTCAGCACTTGACGGCTGTTGCGAGTCCAAACTAGGGTTTCAGTCCCTTATAGCCCACTTGTAAAGTCCAGCTTTATCTACAAGAAACCAAAAACCATCTAGAAAATATTTAATATCTTTAAACTTCTTCTCTAAAGTCTCCAGCTTAACTTTACCCCAACTCGATGATCTCGACCTAGAAGATGATAGATGTATAGTATTCATATCATATAGATATATTCTAGTAACACAACTGATGTGAGTATTCTGTGGTATAGTTCTGTTCCTTGCTTCAGCCGACAACCGGCGTCGGCCCGGCGGCAGTTCGCCGACAGCAAACGCAAAACCCCCGCAGCCTCGAGATCCTCCAGGCCTACAACGCAGTAAAAGTATTAAAGACGTCCCTTGTAAACTGCAATTGATAATTCCTCTTCATCCAGCCTGCTGAAAGATATCGATCATCACGCTCCAGTCTCGAATTGAACGAGTTCATCAATTAAATATCTAGAGCTTTCCCCGCATCTCCACAACGGACAATCTATAGATATCTACTTGAAACGAACATGTCTCAATCCCAGGGAACTCGATTAGCTGATAAAATAGCCATCGTTACTGGTAAGTATTTTCACTATAATCTACAATGTCGAGTGATTGCTGATAATAAATATCACTGTAGGTGGAGGCTCAGGCTTCGGCGCTGCAATCGCCATCCGATATGCCCAAGAAGGCGCAAAGGTCATAATAGGCGACATCAACGTCGATGGCGGCGAGAAAGTAGCCTCAAACAACCCATCGAGCATCTCGTTTCAGAAGATGGATGTCACCAGCCCTGAGGACTGGAAGGCTATCCTTGACCTTGCGACTTCAAAGTACGGGAAGGTAGATATCCTGGTGAATAATGCTGGAACTACTTATAAGAACAAGGTATATATGTCCCATCTATAGTGCTGGTCAATACTCCAATACCTTGCTGTGATCTCCCTAGTTCCTAGTATATATGGACGTGCATATATTTATCTACTAACATCATCCAGCCATCCGACGAGGTAACCCTGTCCGAATTCGAGCGTGTCTTTAACGTGAACGTGAAAAGCATCTTCCTCGCTTCTCAATCCTTCATCCCCCTTCTCATCAAACAAGGCCATGGTGGTTCAATGATAAACATCTCCTCGACAGGCGCCCAGCGACCACGTCCGGGTCTAGTATGGTACAATGCGTCCAAGGGTGCGGTGTCAAACGCTACCAAGGGCCTAGCATCTGAATACGGCAAATATCAGGTTCGAGTGAATAACGTGTGTCCGCTACTGTCGGGAACGGGCCTATTTGAGATGTTCACTGGCATACCTGATACGCCGGAGAATCGGCAGAAGTTTATTGATAATGTGCCGCTGGGGAGGTTGGCGGAGGCAGACGATATTGCAAATATGTGTTTATATCTTGGCTCGGATGAAGCCAGGTTTATCAATGGTGGGGATTTTGTGGTTGATGGGGGGAAGTGTATTTGATAGATCTGTACGGCGTGGAACGGTGAATGGATGGATGGATGAATGGGCTATAGGACAGTATATATTTCTTTGTGTGATGTCGTTGACTAAAAACGAAAATGGCGCAAGATAAAGAACGGTCTCTATATCTATATCCATATTCATTCATAACACATACAAAGAATTCATACACATACAGATTGCGCCCTTTGTTTTCCAGCCATCCAGCTACAACGATCAAATAACACCATAAAGAAAAATAAAATAAACAAACGACAAAGCCCATGTACACGAAAAAAGGGGGGAAATGAATAAGTATGTACTCGAAGTTGAATAAACAATAGTGTTCTGATTGGGTGGACAATAGGCATTGGTTCAGCCGTATTGATGGGAATTGACTCCAACCTGAATAAGAAGGTAACAAGGGGGAAATGCCTAGGCAAATGAAGAAGGGTTAATGGTGAAGGTACATGAAGTACGTGACATAGATAGAATTGAATTCTCGAATACAGCTTTCTTGCCGAATGAAAAAAGAAAAATGTAAGCAAAGCATGTATTCCTATGTGATCACCTTATTGACAGGAAATTTAAAAGTTGCGACGACGGCGATGGCCGTGGCCGTGGCCATGTCCACCGTGGTGGCGGAGGAAGTTGTAGTCTCTCTTAGCTCCCTGGTGGGTAGGCCCTGGGACAACGGCTGTAGCATCAACGGTGTGCGTGACGGTCTGGCGAATAATAGCGACCTCGTGCACAACGCCTCCTTCGGTATAGGTAGTGGTGGTGTATGGACCGTTGGGGTCGGCGGGAGCGCTTGGAGCAGGTGGCATGGCAGTAGTTCCCGCCTTGACTGGTGGAGGGGATGGTACAACTGGAGGAGCTGGAGGAGCTGGTGGTGCAGGTGCAGCAGGGGGAGCAGGTGCAGCAGGGGGAGCAGGCGCAGCTGGGGGAGCTGGGAGAGCCGGAGTTGGGACGTGAAGCTTTGGTCCGCCGGGGACAGAGACGGATGGGACGCTGACGGCTGGAGCATGGGCAGCACCGCTGACGTAGGCTGGTCCGTTGGAGACCTTGGTGCCTCCAGGTAGACCAGAGGTGCAGAATTCGTACTCCTCGTCTTGGATGAGTTTTGGAACCTCCATCTTGCACTTATTCTGCTTAGCCTGGTCCTGAATGGTGAATGCACTGCACTTCTCGATCAGGCCGGAGTCATCGGTACAGGTCTTGATGGCATCCTGGAGCACACCCTCGTCCCATCCGTCGATGAAATCAGCGTGGTAGCCAGCGCCGGTTGGATCACCGTTGGAAAGGACGAACTTGCCATCCATGCCGGCGAAAGGCTTGGTGACCCAGATAGTCTCATAGAAAAGAGTGGCGAGACGAGTTTCGAAGCCCTTGGGGCAAGTTCCACCGTTGATCTCGCTGGGATAGGCGACATGGGACTTGTGATCCTTGGAGTCGAGATCCTTGCCGTTCCAGCAGGATGGGAACATAATCTCCAAACGGAGACCGTTGTCGCAAGTGCTGTCGATGAAGGACCGCTCGGGCATGGTGTGCCTGTACATGGAGGCTTCTGGGGGGTTGGCATAGTTCAGACAGTTGAAGCCAAGGGACTTTTGGCCAAGGGCGGACTGAGTGCGCTCCTTTTCGGTCCAGGCACCCTTTGGAGGGTCTGGCTGGACGAAGGGAAAGTCACGCAGGCCCGTGTCTCCTGCAATCATGCGGAAGCCGCGTGGGAAGGCCTTGAGGTTATCTCCATACAGAAGATAGTAGCTAAATAACGAGTTAGGACTTGATCTGGGTAGACGAATGAATGAACAAATGCATACACAAGAGTGCCACCGAGTTGCTCGGTGAGCTCAGCCGTTCCGTTGGCGTGAACGAAGTAGAGGGTAGGAACCCAGTAAGCGGACTTGTCCTCGATAACGGCACAAGACGTGCAGTCGGAGGCGGCCAACTGGTCACCAGTAACGGTAAAATCAAAGTCTAGTATATGAATTAGCCCAGTTCGTCTCAACATAAGTAGCAGCACATACTTTTACCGCCGTGGATGGCGTGGGCGTGAGGGGAGAGTTCGCCCGGGTTGACGATAGGATCCATCCTAGCCAGTCCCAGACGGCCCTGGCAAGGCATACGCCAGAAAGCAGCAGCTGGCGCAGCCATGGAGAGGACAGAAGCCGCCAAAGCGGTCAACTGAACGGTATGCATCGTGAGAGACAAATCTCAGCTTGAATTCTAGTTCAGAGGGAGTTCGTGATCCCGACCCAGTCGAGATGTAGTATGTAGATGTTCTATGTCAACAAAGGAGCGTGTGACTTTTTGAGAGTCGTATCTGGACACCTGCGAGACGTATTTCAGCTCGACGCTATGTTTGAATCTTTCTGGTATTGGAGCGAGCAGAGGCGACCAGCGAAACGGGGTTCTGATAGTCAATATCAGAAGGCAGATGGGCAGTGTGGGATAAGGAACGACAAGGCTGCGCGCCGAGAACGAAGGAGTGATCTGTCTGAGAGACAACAAGCAGCGCGGCCTGATAAATAAGAGAAGGACGAGACGAACGAGAAGAGAGGGACAAGAAGAAGAGAAGAAGAGAAACGATGCTGGAGATGGGGCTGAGATAGAGATAAAGAAGGATGAACAGGGGAAAAGGAAGTAGAAAAACGCCCGCCCGCGCTAGCCCGATTTGGGTCTACTGAAACAGCCAACCGCCGATCTGACACAGTTCATTAAACCGCGACATCCCATATTGCGTGGGACCTACGCTACGATATGGCCACGATACAGATGGTGCGGATGATACAGACTGGTGATGGATGTTCCATACGATATGGACGATATGACCGTACAATAACGATATGGATGATGATGATAGATGGTTCTGTTCCTGCGTTGTCCTTCAGCGCTAATGGCCAATGACGCCCCTCGATCGCCATGCTCAACGCCGATTCGCGAGTGTGTTGCCCCTGGGGCGGAATGTTCATTTACCTGGCATCGTCGCTGGGTCGGTCAATGCGACTTCTGACTGCCAGGGGCCAGGCAGTGAGCAGCGAGTAGCGAGTTCCGGGCGCATAGACACAGGTACTAATATGCACAGAACACCTTATTCAATGCGCAGGCCTGCTCGTCCAGGGTGCGGTATCAGAGTCAACCGCGTTTTTCTCCGCGGGACGGATCGACGGGCGAAGTGGTGGGTGTGAGCCCATGGGTTTACGGGCCTAGCGGGCTCCATCCATACCGGAGAGGGACATTGTATACGGAGGACGGTAGTTATAGGGCCCATGCCGCGGTGTCAGCTTGCGCTATTCGACGGCACGAAGGGACAAGTTAAGTAGACGGTCAGTTCGGCCGTTTGGCTGCCTCTGCCTTCTACTTCTGGACCGTTGAATGTCTGTGGGAGAGAAACATACAGCCTGCCAAGGAGGTTGCCGCCCTCCTCTCTCAGGGGTTTATTTTTGTTTCTCATGCTCTCGCTAAATCTACCCTGGCGGTCGGTCATCTTATGCCCTGAGTTATCGGTTGGGATGTCGCTGAGACGTGGGGGCTAACGTTTAACGGTGATGTCTAATAGTAATGTTCTAGTTCTACTTCAGCCAACTCATTCTAGGCAGAGTGGCCACGGCAGGGCGGCCGATGGCGAGGCAAACAGGTGGATGAACGTGGCGTGGCTGAGTGTCGACACTGACAAATAACAGCGATGACATGTTTGCTCCACGGACACGCTGTGCTATTGAAGCTTGACCCAGGGGAGATCGATCTTGCGGCCCGGCAATTCTGATACGGCATTTTTCCTATTGTCTAGGTACATTGACCATCCATTGATCTGTACCTGTACCGCTTCCCCTGATCGGGAGGATTGTTTAGTCACATCTATGTTTCCTCAGTCACTGCCGACCTGGAGCTGTGTTTCTCTGCGAAAATTTCTGATTGCTCCCATCGGAACGAACATCCTAGGCTGAGTAGGTGGTTCCAATCAGCCACTGTCGTCATCGCCAGCCACCACCAGCGCCGTCGTACAGTGCGCGTTGGTATCCATGTTTGCATGTGTCCGGCTAAAGCCACGCCGTAGGGCAGCAAGCCTTCAAGCCACTACCAGAGGGGTAACTATTCGTTGCTTGTTAAATTTGACGACGGGGCGACGGCTTGGAGGCAATCTGATACCGACAGACCGACTACATCTCAATTAATCCTGCTCCATTTTCGATTGGCCGTCACACCCGGTACGGTTAAGTCCTTGGATAATATTACCTAGCCAAATCTACGTAATCTTCGTTGATCTTGATGGATGAGCCAGGCTAGTGGACAGGAGGCATTGGAGATCTGATACGACACTCATTCGTAAATCAGAACTCGATCGATCGGGTGTGCCCTTGACGAACTGCGACTTGGAGGGCGATCAATACATGATTAATCCATATGGAGTGCTCCATACAAGTATCAATTATCAAACCAGAGGGTCCGTCGGACCCCATATTTTGCTCAAGCAATCGGAGGAGATATCCCTTTATGCATCTCTAGTTAAGAGCCCTTAACCTTGTCCTCACACTTTCCCTTACCCCTTGGACTTCCCCTTATGAGAAAGGTGTAACTTTTATCCGATTAGCTGATAAGTCGCTCGGGGCCCTGAAGGCTTAGGTAGAGACTTCTGCAGACCTTTATCGTCTGTCGAGAATTGGCGAATGAGATATATATAAGTATAAGTGCTAGTGTCGATGTATATAACTGATATATAAGGAATCAAAGTGGAACATGAACAATGGAGTACATGCTTCAACGCTGAAGGGATCATCCTTCTGATTGCTTATCCTTGCCATCCCCTTTCTGTGTGATGGGACTTCTCGTACGAAATCTTATCATCGTCAAAGGCCCATCATCAAAGATAACATTTCCTTCACCTTGTGTTTATCCTTTCCTTGAATGATTTGGCCTTTATCCTTCCCCTTGAACGATGATATGGAGATTATACGAGAACGAAGGAACTTTAAGCGCCCGCGCTAAAGAATAACTCTAATAGTTAGTTACATAAGCCAAGCCGGAACTTCCGTTTTAACTGGTCGAGCTAGCGATAAACAAACAGGCAACTTCATCCATGTTCACCATACGGCGTACTCTGCGCTCCTCTTTGCTCGATCGATACAATATCCTTGGGTTATATACATGTTTTTACTTCATGGGTCGGTACTACGACGAACCAGATGATTGGACAAGCGATCTATTTGAGAACAAAAAGATAACCCCGTCCGGTTCGAATGCAGCACGCTTGACTATAATATAAACAGAGAATAAACTTGACTAATTCTCGGACACGACAAGGCGAAGCAGGAGAAGATACGAACAGCATTTCGCAGAGATTTAACCTATGGCCATATACGATAATCGCTAGGCCTGGACTAACTTTATTTGATAGTGAATTTCTATCATATGACAGATTATCCCAGTTGGTTCATCGATCATGAGCAGATAGAGATGGTGGATAGCTCAACGCCGTCGATTTACAATAAAAACAGCAGCTTCAAAATATGGATCGTGGGGTTAACTAATCTTTTGGAGCTAATCATACATAGCCAGCAGCTCCCTCTTAACTTCTATACATCTTCTTTGATATCGCCGTTTACCTTCACTTTGTGTTCAATCATGAACCTGTACTTAGCACGTGATACATAAACAGATAGAAAATTCCTTCTATATTAACATCAACCAGTAATATCACCTATATTCTATTCTCCATAACAGGGCAGTGATGTAACTGGTTAAATCACACACCGTTATTGGCATGGAAGCTATAATAAGGAGGCAAGATGATCCGCGAACAACCTTGATCATTGCTACTTCAGTACTCCGTGCCATTATATTGCTTCTTCAACAGTCGCCACCATCATCGCACACGCCCGTTGATACGAAGTACGAGACCTCGCAGCCGTCGCCATCAGCCCCCCCCGTCAATGTAACAATGGCGTTTATGAAAACAAATTCGTGAGATGATGACATCCATCATCCAACCCCGATGGGAATCAGGGATAGCTTCTTCGTTCCTTTTCCTGTCCCATGGGAGACGCCCTCAAGTAACACGAAGCTGCAGCTAAGACCCCCCAGCTGGACGTTGCAGTACTTGGCCTGACCAAGGATCGCGATGCCGGTGATCAGCCAGTAATCGGTCGCCGTGGCTGACTTGGAGCTGTGTCGCTGCAGCAAGATCGCGAGGGGGTTCGCCTAGGTCATCCATCGCGCTGCCAAAGCTACCGTGTTTCCTTTTCTCGTCGTCTAGTAGAGACGTTTGTTTGGCTGTTCTGCATTGTCAAGACCTCAGCTCTGTGACGACCAGGCCTGCGATGTCCGGAGGCATTCTCATCTCGGTTCGCACCGCAGATGGGCCCGTCAGGATGACTTGTTTATAGCCACTAGAAGTCGCTTTTGAGTTCTTGTGGGGGAAGCCATTTCTGAGCTGCATCAGAAAAACCCAGGAAGCGGGAGAGAGTTCTATGGCCTGCACCTGATATTGGACGGGCTGAAGGGAAGATGTGGGGGATGGAGGGATACAATACCCCTCTCTATCTCAGCTTGCGCGGCCACAGCATATACTGAAGGGTCGGGCTATCTATAAAAGAGAGCTCCTGTTCTCGTTGCTGGTGATGTACTGGCAAGTCACGGTTGTAGTGACTGAAGCATCTGCGTGGATCAGCTGTTTTTCCAAAACGGGTAATTTTATACCCCTTCCTTATATATATCTACCTTCCCCATTCCAATACTCAACTGCTTTTTGCACCAACCTGCAATTCATTGATCAAACATATCCTGATTATCTACTTATCACCACATTCAGTTCGTCCGTCAAGTCTTGAGATAAACAATCATGTCTCTCATCTCCATCAACGGGAATGACCTCAACCCCCAGAGCCAAAGACCTGTCCTCCAGGCCCTTGGCATGGAATCGGAAGACTCGTCCAAGTCGAACTATATCCTGATTCAAACCAAGGAGCTCCTCGAGGACGACCAGGAAGACGAGCTCGAGCGCCTAGGCGTCGACATCCAGGAATATGTCTCGTTCAAGACGTACCTCTGCAGCTATAAACCAGCTGATCTAGCTGCTATCCGCTCCCTACCATTCGTGGCATGGGCAAACGTCTACCTTGACATGTTTGTCATCCAGTCGGCCATGAAATCTGTACCACCAAGCACAAACGCGCTTGCTGCCTTTTCTGGTACCGTGCCGAGGTCTAGCCGTCGTCGTACGGTAGATATCGTGCTTCACAACGATGTAGACTCTACGTCACAGGAGCTACACGACGCCCTTGGCATGGCCACGCGGGCTGCCACTTCGTGCTTCCGTGTTGGACCGAAGAAGATCCGAATGATTATCGAGGAGCAACACATGGATGAAGTTGCAGCTATCGACGACGTTAGAAGCATCCATGAAGTTCACCCGGCCGTTCTGTTCAACAACAAGGCTGTCCCTATCATCAAGGGCGAGGTCGACACTAGTAGTGATGCCCCTATTGGCACCATGGAGGCCAAAACCGAGGCTCTACCCTATACAGGAGAGGGCGAAATCGTTGCCGTTGGTGACACTGGCTTCGACAAAGGCAGCACAACCGATACCCACCCAGCATTTACGGGACGTGTCAAGCATCTCTATGCCCTAGGCCGCACGAACCCGGCAACGGCTGACGATCCAAACGGCCATGGCACTCACGTCTGCGGCTCTGTCCTTGGAGACGGGGTCTCTGAAAAAATGGGCGGGAAAATCCAGGGCACAGCACCTAAAGCCACTCTAGTCCTGCAATCGCTGCTAGATAGCAACAATGGACTCGGTGGAATCCCAGACGACCTCACCAACCTGTTCATTCAGCCATATAAAGACCACGGTGCGAGGATTCATACAAACTCTTGGGGAAGTAACAGCCCAAGCGGTCAACTCCCCTATGACTCTAGCAGCGAAGAGATCGACCGCTTCGTCTGGGATCATCAGGACATGGTCATCCTTTTCGCTGCTGGAAATGCAGGCGCTGATGCGGATCAGGATGGGTCCAATGATAAGAATCAGATCGGCTCCCAGGCCGCAGCAAAGAATTGCATCACTGTTGGCGCAAGTGAAAACGATCGCCCTGATATTGCAGTAACCTACGCTCCATGGTTCCCAAATAAGCCCTACAACGACGACCGCGTGGCCGACCATCCTAACGGCATGGCAGCATTCAGCTCCCGTGGTCCTACCAAGGAAGGACGCATTAAGCCCGATGTCGTTGCACCAGGGACATCTATCCTATCCACTCGTTCGTCAAAGTTGTTGAAGCCTAGCACCACGTTCGGAACGAGCACGGATCCAGCTTGGTTTTTCAACGGGGGAACCAGCATGGCAACCCCCCTAGTGGCCGGAGGTGTGGCACTCATTCGCCAGGCCCTTGTTAAGAACGGCACAAAGGACCCATCCGCTGCCCTTATCAAAGCAATGCTCATCAACGGCGCCGTCGAGCTGCCTGGTCAATACGTTCCATCCGAGGCTGGTCCATCACCAAATATCAGCTCCGGATACGGCCGTGTTCACGTCAAGAACTCCATTTCCCTGCCCAATGAAGAAAGTGCTGGATATCGCGAGGGAGGCCCTCTTACTCAGGGCAAGACTGACTCCGAGCTGGTCATCAAAGTGCCCAAGAAGGCAGAAGGTAGCTCTACTTTGAAAGTGACCTTGGTCTGGTCCGACCCACCAGGTGCAACGCTACAGAATGACCTGGACTTGATCGTGACTGCGTCCGATGGCACCGAGAGACATGGCAATATGGGCTCTAAGAAAGATTTTGATCGATCTAACAACGTCGAGCAGGTTGTATGGACAAAGATTCCAAGTGGAGATGTCAAGGTCCAAGTGCGAGCTTTCCACATCTTCAAGAAGCAGTTTGCACAGCGCTTTGCGGTTGCCTGGAGCATCGATAAGCCTCTCAAATAGGCTGGTCTAACAGTCTTTATTAGTACTGGACAAAAGGCATGTCTAGTTAGGATGTTTTATGACACTCTTAGTTTGAATTCTAGTACTATTTTCGGGTTAATTTTTATATCAGGACGAAAATATGATACAAATGTCTTATCAAAATTCTCCAAAGCCCCAAAGCTTTACCAGTAAAGGTGCCTCGGTTAACCCGATCTATAACCCCAGGAAGTTTGGTAGGCCTTTTACATCTTCAACCTACTCTAACCCCTTAGGATGAAACATAAATTAGAATGAGCGTGGCAGATCACACGTAGTATAGCTTGATAGGCCCACAAGAGCTTCATGTATCACTTCTCTCGCCGTCCATGTCGTTTTATCGTCAGTAGCGAAGATATGCCATCATTATTCAGCCAAACGCTCTGTACGTCATGGGATACGAAGATGCGCCCTTCTCTCCCCCGAGATATCATCCCAATCCTACGATGTGGGGCAGCATCGGAGGTCCCTCCGCATTCCCTGATGTCCCTGATGTCCCTGATGTCCCTGAACCTCAGTAACCGCTTCTCTCGCAGACTATGCAAGCGGAGAAGAACAGTTGCGAGTAGGTATACATATATCGACAGGCAGCAGATTTGTAAGGCTGGTCCAGTTCGGAATGCGTGTGAGCATCATAGCTAATCTGGCTCAAAGCAGGAAGCAGGACAGCCGCATCGTATACGTATAACGAGCAATAATGGGAAAACCAACCATTCTCTATGTCGGAAACCCGATACGTTTTTCCCGTGAGCGCTGGGCAGAGCTTGAAAAGCGCTGTAACGTGCTATACTACTCTAAACTCCCCCTCTCCGAGCTCATAGAGGCCTTCAGCGAGGGAGGTAAATACTCGACCGTAGACGGCATTCTTCGACCGAATAACACCCTGACCAACAATCTGCCTCTCTTCAACAAGGAGCTAATCCCTCATCTACCTCCGTCGTTGAAGATAATCGCCTCGGTCAACCATGGCTACGACGGACAGGATACGGAAGAACTAGCACGGCATAAAATATGGTACTGTAACGGTGCCGGTGCAGCAAACGATTCGACAGCAGACCTAGCTTTGTTTCTAATCATAGCTACGTTTCGACGAACGAGCTTCTGCGAACATAAGGTTCGTAGCTTACGGAGAGGAAACTACTATGACATCGAGGATGAGGTTGCTGAGATCGCGCACAATCCACACGGGAAGGTCCTAGGTATTGTAGGTCTGGGAGAGATCGGGCAGGCGGTAGCCACGCGAGCTTTGGCGCTGGGCATGAAGATACATTATTTCGGCCGGTCGAAAAAAACTAGCGCGGTGGAATCAAAGCTGGGAGGCGCAGTATATCACTCCGAGTTGAAAGGGTTGCTGGAGGTTACGGATTGCTTGTTGTTAGCTTGTCCGCATACGCCGGAAACGCACCATCTGCTTAATTCAGAAACATTCAAACTGATGAAACGCGGTGTTCGAGTCATCAATGTTGGGCGTGGGAAGTGTGTGGATGAAGAGGCGTTGGCTGATGCCATTGACGAAGGGATAGTGAGCAGTGCTGGGCTAGATGTTTATCAGGACGAGTACGTCTCCCTCTTCACGTCTAAATATTCACTTTTCGCTGACAACCTATCCATAGACCCAAGATTAATGCCCGATTACTCGATAACTGGCATGTCACATTGTTACCGCATGTTGGAGGAGCAACGATTGATACGCAAGCAGTAAGCTCGATGCTCCCTCCTGTCTCTAGTTGCCAACGGCTTCCGAAGCTAACAAGGACAATTATACAGAACTTTGAACAAATAGCCATGGGCAACATTGAGGCGTTCTTCTTCGGTGATGGCAAGCCTCTTACCCCAGTCAACAAAGTCGAAGACTACAAACCCAGTACAGAGCGACTGTAGGGGTATGGAACATATAACCTCCTTGCTTGTCTCTTTTGGCTTGGTAAATGGTGACTTCTTTGAGCTGGTTATGCATTTCTATGTGTATGAGTTCAATTACACAGCACAGGTTTTATGTTGGCTACCTAGCTCTTTGAATGTTTGGTGTTGTTAGCGTTAGTTATCTAGCAGATATCTCCAAGCTTGTATATACTCTTGGTAACATTAGTGTAAATGATGCTATCAATATTGCATATATATCATTTTATTTATTTAGTCCCTCCCTTCTTAGCTCATCCTTCTTCTTTGCTCCTTAAACAATGTTCTCTCTCCGCCTTCAACGCCCAGGTTTTCAATACAGGGCCTTTTGCTATCGAGACTGTTCTTTCTACACTCCTGCGCGCTTAGAGAAATTGCGTTCCACGGTAAGAGTCGAGACCGTCACCGCTGACTTGGAGAAAGAAACCTGCGGAAACACTGTGGATTATGCGTGCTTAACCGTAGTTTGAAAGTTCCTTCAGTGCAGTATCTGCCCTGGGTTTCCATATATATATATATATATATTATAGCACGGTTCGCTTCCTTGGAAGTTGCTCTTCCGGAGTAGCTATCTTCAAATGGATGCTGTGATGGCAATCCTAGAATAGCCAACTCCTAGAACTTCAATGCGGCAATGGAGACCAGAAGCTGAAGTGCCGCCAGGATGTTCGCTGCTCCCCCAACCAGTAACACAGCCCAGAAAGTGTACCATTGTAAAGGATTACGCCTGTCGCACCACAAATCAGTCAGCTTGCTAGGTCTCTGACGTGTATTGAACTGCTGGAGCCTGATCAACCGTGGTCCGAGCCTCGGGAAATCACCTCGAGAGCTATACACGTCACTTTGCTGGAGTTGACCTTCCATGGTCCGACAGGTGATTGGCCATATCTCGGATGGATAGCTTTGCAAAGTTGTGTCGTATGTCTTCCACCACCTACTGCCGCGCTCGTACTTGCATTCACAGAGATCCGAGAGCATTCTGTCCACCACTTGGTCTGCGGACGAGTTCTTCAACTTGCAGATTTCCTCACGTGCAACCTTCCTGGACTTGCCATCTTGTCCAAACAGAAGGCGGTAGGAGAGGATAATTTCTTGCGCTAGACTGACGCAGCACTGGTCTTTCTCCTCTGGGGACAAAGGGTCGAGTTGCTCATAAACACTATCATCGGTTAGCTGTAACGAAGTTAATAAGGGCCTGTACGAGGATTTGCACTATACCTTTGAATCACCGGGAAAACGTTGTCTCCATGGGTAGCAAGCAATGCGCAGAATGTGGGGAAGCGAAACAAGGACAGCCGACGATTAGCTGGATTGAACCGTAGATGCTCGCTGATGGTATCGGTCCATTGAATCGAGACGTGTCCAAAGTAGCGTAAAGAGTAGATGTTAAGGCTTGCCTCGTACAAGCTATCCGTTTCTCGAGGTCTCGATCTATCAACTATGCGTTCGCGGGACTGGCCACCCCAGTTTTGTGACTTGAATGCCCGAAAGATGGTCATGAGTGGCCGCTTACATCTGTCGTTCAGCCTGTTCGTAGAGGGGGTTGATGTCGATTTGACGCCGTTCGGCAGGAGGCATGCGAAATTCGACGGCACAGAATCTGTGAAGATCAACCTAGGCCGCATCGCTAGGCTTGACCAGCACAAAACCCCAAAAATGGCAATGTAAAGATAGGCCGTCTCCTGGGCTCTTATATGCGTTTTGGAGGCACCACTTCGCTCGTCGAGGCACTCTGCTATGTCGTCTATGCTGACTTCGGGTGATTCTGACTGTATCAACCGCAACACTGCAACACTCCAGTCCCAACAATCTGTAATCTCTTTGGTTTTTGTGCAGGATATCAATTCCCAGATCAAGCCAAAGGCTGGGTCCATCAGTGACGGGAAAGCGTCATGCTCTAAATAGTGGCAGTATGATTCGATCCCAGGGAAGCTGGTGAGAATTTCCGGCTTGACGTCGAATAGTAATTGGATAAATTCCAAGCGTCTATTGTAGGCAAATTTCCGGATAACCGAGTCCGCTTGTGTTTCTAAATCCTCTGATTTCTCGCGGGATAATGTCATTTTCTGAAGCAGTCGTTGCATTTTGGAGCCGTCCACGTTCAAACGACACTTGCGCCCAGTGTGACCTCTTCACGAGCAAAATAATAACTCCAAAAACAAAGCTGTCAAACTGAACAGAGTGTGTATGTTTGTTGTTCCCTTCAAGTCACGGCTGTGAACGCGAATATCATCCAAGGCCGTATACACGGAACGGATCCGGGGTATTTAACGTCACATAATGGGACATGTCCCTTCTATCTTTCTGTGCCAGTAATAGTTGAATGTGAGGCTGGCGGTTAAAAGATGGGGCTGATACATTGCAGGCCCTGCTGTCCTTTAGGAACGACCATTTGTATCTTCATTATCACTCTCCTCTCTAGGGTCGAGCAGCTGCCCTAGATGAGCGAAGACCAGTACATTATGAGGCGGATCCAACAGTCGCAGGGACGGCCATTTTGTGATCACAGCATTGATTGTGGTCTTTCGAGGTCTAGCAATGGGCCGAGTGTTTTTACGCGCCATCTTGCAGCCGCCGTGATTGTTATGCGTCCATTGAACCAAGGGCTTGGCGATAAAACCACCCTTACGGCGAATTGCTTGATAGCAGGCCCGTTGAATGTTTGATATCTGGTTCGTTAGGCCAATTTGGTGCTCGATATAGGCCAGTTTGATGCGCGGTTCGGCTTATGGTGCTGGAAGTAAATAACTCGGTAACTCATCACCATAGGGAAACGTCCAGGTCTAACATACCCAACGGTTATTTGCACTTCCCTATCAAATCCCTGCCAAGTTTGCTATATACCTGACAAAGACCTCGATAGAGGAGGGTTTAGCCGTTTTATTAGCACCGCAACCCTCCTCTGTGGACCCCAATCCATATCTACAGTAGAAAGTCCTCTCAGTTTAATGCTTCGAACCTGCGTTCTCCGACCTCTCTTGCATACTTGCACGCCCAAGACTACCTTTGCATCCTTGAGAATGACAACCCAGGCCCGGAATCAGGTCATCAACGCGCCATCAGACGAGGCTCCCCGCAACGCTACATCAGTCTTTCTCGCCGGCACCACCAGCAGAGTCGACGCTCGCGACTGGCGTGAGGTTATATGTACCGCACTCTCTGACACGCCCGTGACAATCTATAACCCCTACCGCGCTGATTGGGATAGCTCGTGGCGCGAGGACATCAATTTCGCTCCCTATCGCGAACAGGTGGAGTGGGAGCTCGAAAAGCAGGAGAGGGCCAACATTGTCGTTGTTTACTTCCACCCGTCTACCCAGGCACCGGTCAGCTTGCTCGAGTTCGGGCTCTGTGCGCGGACGCCAGGAAAGGCCATCGTTGTCTGTCCCGAGGGGTACTGGAAGAGGAGTAACGTTCAGATTGTGTGCAAGAGATATGGAGTTGAAATGGTAGACACTGTTGATGGACTGAGAGACGCGATTGCAAAGAGGCTGCCTGTTAGTTTGTGACTTTTTGGTCGAAGTCCTTTGAGGATAATCTATTGTAAATGGCATCTTGAGAGATAATACAAGTACGAACCCGATGCAACCTGCGCGTTGCTCACCGGACATCATTTCTACCAGCTTCCAGCGTATTAGTTCTTGAACCAGCCACCAGCCACCTGCTACTGTAGCCAACTCGTGGAAATGTTAACATCTTTATATCAAGTCGTCGAGTCGTTTTGACAAAAGGAGAGGATTATGTAACCGGATTAGTTGGCTTATATAAACAGGCGAGAGTATGCCCGGATAATCAACAGGCCGGATGAGCTCGAAAAATGTCAAGATCGCGCTTCAATGCTTCCATCCTCAACGATGTACCGTTCAATTCCGGCCCTCCTTGCGAAGAACAAGCAAGTGATCATAAAAGGGAGCGATGTTTCGTACCGGGTCCTCAAAACACTGGGGGACTACAACTTTCAGGCTTCAATTCAGGAAAATGAAAGCTCGCAGACCACTCCATCACAACCTAAAAGTGTAAATCCCTACAGCTTGGTGGTTATGAAGACAGGACTTACTCCCGCCCTATACCAGCGAGAATTGGATTTTTACAAATTAAATTGCATTCGCTCTTCCCCCTATATACAGCCGATTCGAGAGATCATCGATAATGAGGAGGACAGATGCATGGTATTCGATTCCATGGGCTGTCACCTTCCGGCAGCGAGGGAACAGATGTACGAACGGGGTCCTGTATTTATAGCAGCTCTAGCGAAGTCACTCCTCGAAGCCGTCAAGGTATTTTCAGATATGGACGGGAAGGGTCCCCATGTGCATACAGGTAAACCCCACCAGAGTTAATCCAGTATACCATTGGACAAACTGACATCTCCCAAGATATCCAACCATATAATATTACCGTCTCAGATGCCAATGCATGGAATCTCTCGATTAAACTAGGAAACCTTTCAAGGAGTATGTCTTATTGCGTATTTCCCAGTTCCATTAAAACACCCCATGCTCATTTCCTATAGTGATTGCTTCTGGGAGTATCGCCCCCTTCCCAGTACAGAGGCGTTCGATTCGGGCTCCTGAGATTTGGAAAGGAGGGTTGGTCACACCCGCTTGTGACGTTTGGTCTGTTGGCGTTTGCGTGAGTTTCATAATATTATTATTGATTAACGTGGTTATCCTATTTTGATCCCTTATTAACCGATACTATAGCTAGCACAAGCCCTTATACCTCCAACCCGACCACTCTTTGGGAACCTGGACTTCGTCGGTCTTCGTGGGTTTGCTTATATTAAAGTAGATGAAGCTGCCTGGTGTATTGGCAAAATCATCCGGCTTCTTGGCCCTCTAAAACGAGACGAGTTACGAAAACATAAGGAAGAATTTGATCTTGCGGAGACCCTAGCGGAGAATGGGAGTTTCGAACTTGGCACTCTTGAAGAAGAGCTTGCTAAAATCGATCTTCCTCCAGATTGCATCGCGTTCATTCGATATCTTCTAGATACAGACCACACGACGAGGCCTACAGCGAAGGAAGCACTACGCCATCCGTGGCTTAAGATTGCGGATAAAAAGCCCCCAATATATGAAGCGTTTGGGTATGCCTAATCGCTCTCTTATACATAACCCCCTGACTACGGCTGCCTCAGACAAACGGAAGTCGACATCAACCCTGCTGGATTTACCGGGCAATTTGAAAGCCACACCTCGCACTGTATCATCATATCTCACACCCTTATCACCGAAATGTTCCTCCCCCAAATGACCTTACCCGAATAAACCCGATTGTATCATTAATAAGACTGGATATCATAGCTTTTCGCTTTTTGCAACAGCAGCCACCAGAACTGTGGAGCTGTTAATAAGAGACTTGAACAACAATATTGAAACCACTTGTACTTAGTTCATGTAGACACTAGGGTTTATGGATCAATAGACCTGTTATAATGGGCATGTTTCAGTGATGGATGTTCTCCCAATAGCTATAGCCTGGGGTAATCTTCATTACAAACTACTAAAATACTACAACGATATGGAGAAGAACGTTATACACACCCTCCACTAAGACAGCAAAACATAGCTAGTTGATCCTGCAACTAATTATAAAGGTCTAGAATTACTCATGCTTCTTCGATCCTACTTTTTCGATCCTACTTCTTCGCCATGTTCATCAAATGGGCATAACCCTAGCCGCCGGGAGCCGACGGACCAATCTGCTGATAGTCATAGTACATCTGAGGAACCCTTGAAAGACCACTAGAATAGTCTTCCAATGAATAATGATCCATGCCGCAACATGTCAAACGAACGCTGAACCTGGGCAATCCCGCGGCTGGCCACTTGGCGATGTGCGAGAAACTGTGCAAGGAACCTGGCAACAAACGCTCAGATGGCGTCGACAGCTTCCAGGGACAATTCTCCCAGGGCGCCCAGTCAGGGAGCTGGATTAATATATGAAATGCTACCGGAACCCCTATGATAGAGGTCTGAACCCTCCTCCTATAGCTGTTCCGCGGGTTCCCAGAGGCTAACTATTAATATTAGCTGGCTTGCTCTGCTCCACAAACCGTTCGCCAGAAAGTTCTTCCCATCGTGTTTCCAAGGCCTGAACCTATCAGAAATATCCGTTGCATCATCTGATTCTTTTCCAGGTTCCTTTTTTTTCCTTGACCTTGTTCGTTTTTCTCTCTGGGTCGACGGTAGAGGAAAAAGCAGGTGTCAGGATGGGCTAAATCGACAATCATCCAGAGTCTGCCTTGTATTCTCTCCATTTCATCACATATCTTCAATCGCCGACGGACGACGGCTGTGCTTATCTCTTGAGATACATATAGCATCACTCTCTACGACCATGGCCGCGGACCAGGAGCAGGACCAGTTGCGGGCTTACGGGCTACGCCCCGAGTCGCGGTTCTGATCATCATGACTGGGGAACGATATGTATGCGTCCCTCGCCGTCAGGATTTATACCAGCCCGTGGATTCCAGCAGGCAGCTCTGGAGGCGTCCCCAACGTTCCAAAACGATGGCTCCGAGCCAGGCGAGTTTCGACGTTGTGGTCAACGCTTCCGGG